AAGGGCGGATGCAGCATGTGCCCAGGGGGGGCAGCTGCCCCCCCCCCCCCCCCCCCCCCCCCCCCATGCTGCCCCAATAGAATTTTTTATTTTTTTATACATAAATTTGTAAAAAATGATAAAATGCCCCCCCTAAAATTAATAAAATGACCCATTTGCCTCTGAATCCATTAAATTTTATTTTATTTTGTGCATATAATTTATAAATATTTATAAAACACCCCCATAAAATTTATAAAATTATCTCCCATAAAATTATCTATTTCTAAAAATGTCTTTAATTCTTTATTCTTTTTCCTTATTATTCTTCAAATTTCTTTTTGTCGTCTTCAAAAATTTTGATATTCTCTTTCTACAATTAAAGTCTATTTTTTCCTTTAAAATTATCTCATATATATATATATTTTTTATTTCATTTGCTTCTTAAAAAATTCCTTTTTTTCTTAAATTTTTTTTTTTTTCCACTCATGCATAATTTATATGCAATTAACCTTCTTTTTCTTTTTTCTCTTTATATTTATTTTTTCTTCCATTGTTGTTACACTATTATATTTTAGGCATGTTTGAAAAAAATTATTTTGTCAGTGCTAACATGCCCCCCTGAACCAAATTCCTGGCTCCGCCCCTGTATATATATATATATATTTCTTTATTTTTTTCGGGAGATGACTTAAGATGAAATTCATGGAAGTACAAGGCAACTAGCTAAAAGCAGAGGAAATTAGTCCAGAAGCAGAAAGGGGGTCATATTCTTTTACTTCAAGTTGATTAAAAGCAAAGTCCTGTTGATACCCTTCTGTTTAGGTTGAGCATATTCCATTACTACTAGATGGCTATTGCATATCAATTTATGTTAAATTTTGACTTGCCTGTTCCATATGGAAGTACAGATCTTAAATGGATCCCTATGATTGTTGAATTGTCGTGAAGGAAATAAAAAGTCGCTTGGATAATGTATAGAGCAATGATACATCTTTCGAATTTGAAGACACTGAATAGAGAATTTGTGAGGGGTGTGGGTCCCACCTCATATGATGTGGTGGGGCTCACATCTCCACTCACATGACACATAGTCGGCATCCTCCGAATTCAGAAGATATATCATTTTTCTAATGTATATTGTAGTTTCTCAAGTTATTCTTGAATCAAGTAATGCTATTTAGACCGATTTGTTTAGCCAAGAAGTTTAACTGAAGGGATTTTTATCTCCAGGATGGAATGGATAAGTTTAAGTATGGGTTCCATCGACTACATCACAAGGATACAAACTCTTCATGCCTTTGAAAAATCGGCCTAAGAAGCATTTTTTAGTGCAAATGAAGCAATTGTATTGCAGAGACATTGCCCATTCCTTATCCTCCTCATTGAACCAGGATTTGATTATTTTTTTTTTTCTAACCATTGAAAGCAATGAACCACATTAACTATTTCTTCTTTTAATCAATGGACCTTGTGGGAAACCAGATGGAAAATTAAGAGAGTGAGAAATGGTGGTTCTTGTAGCATTTCCCTTGTTTTGGCATAAGCAGACATTGTATGATGGGACTCAAGTGAATACACACACACACACACACACACACAGGAAGAGACACAGATTAGAGATATAAGCACATGTTTTCACACACATATACATGTCCATGTGTGTATGTGTAAGACACACACACACACAGGAAGAGACACAGATTAGAGATATATGCACATGTTTTCACACACATATACATGTCCATGTGTGTGTGTAAGTGAATTATGTGAAATTAGCTAACAAATAAGTTTGTAGGATTTTAGTTTACCCCCAAATTACAATCCTAGAAAATAGTAATTTCACTCATTCCTTGAGACAAGTTTAGGTTTTGTTTGGTCGAGTTTTGGAGAATAGTTTTCTGTTTTCTGAGAACTGAAAATCAAAAAGGTATAAAAATAACTTGCTGAGTTGTCAGTTTTTGGAAAACTAAATTAAGAAAAGACATGTTTGCAAAGAATGACCTTTTATACTTCTCTAAAACAAGTTTTCAGTTTCTGAATATTTCATTACTGTTTTTAGAAAACTCAACCAAACAAGTTCTAAGGTTTCCTATTTCCCATTCTTCACTGTTGTTTCAAAGTAGTACTGCAAATTCTGCAATATTGCAGGATAGCCATTGAATATATATATAGCAAGATAAATCAATAACCAAGGCAGAAATTTCTGGTTTTAACCATAGATATATTACAAACACAAAAAGGAAGGAACAGAATAAACTGCAAATGATAGCATGAGCACAACCACTTATCATGAACATGGAACACGGTTATGCTTGAGCCAACTCAAGGAAGGAACATAAAAACTTTAAAAACTTAATTGGAAGAAAGGCATTGCCTTCCCTTTGCCCCTATGACTTGCCTTTGTACCCTTTGCATCCATCATGCATGGAAGAGGATCACCACTTTCTTTCTCTTCTTCCTCCACATCTCTTGGAGTGTCGCGGCACGAAATCCGAGTTCAGGCACACAGCATGCACTGATGAAATGGATGGTGAAATTGCTGTTTCATCTACTCCTGTCATGTATATATATATATATATATATAATCACCCTTCACCCAAGGAAACATTGGATTACAACAAGAGTAGTGATATTGGGGGAACTGTAAAAGTGAATTGTCTGACTTATGAGTTTCGAATGGTCATACGTAAGTAAGACAATTCACTTTAAATAATCAGAATCATTTTTTTTTAGTAACAATCTAAGTCATTTTTTACCATCCGCTATATGAATCGTATGTTTCTTTTTGGTATATTTAATATCTTATATTTTTTGGAATCGGTTAAAAATAAAATAAAAAATAAAAATAAAAAATGGAAAGAAGAAGAAGAAAACTTCAACATAGAGAATCGCATCTTGAATGGTCCCCATAACATTATTCTCATAGTAGGTCCTTAATTTATACTTATCCCCCACTAAGAATATTTTTTTTCCTCGTATATAAATTACATTAGTCTAGAGAGGAGAGAGAGAGATTAGGGGAGAAGGAAGAAGAATGTCAGCTAACAAGTGGCAGTGTTTTGTCAAAAGTAGTTGATTAGAGGGATAAACAAAAGTGAAAGGTCATTAAAAGTAGTTAAGAGAGAATATAGAACTAGATATGCCTCTCTCTTTATAGGGTACAAACACATTGGACCGTCCACTTCTCACAACACTAATGGTTATCGGAATCAGTATCCGACGGCACTAATCAATTTAAGGAGCAAAGATGGAAAGGGGGTACCATAAGCAATGAATAGCCAAAACATAAGTTTTTTTTAATAAACATACTTATCTGGAGATGACAAGTGTTCTATTTATTAAAAATAAAAATTAATATGTAAAAAAAAAAAATAAAAGAAATTTTAACTACTTCTCTCTTATAATTAAGATTCTGGTGTCATGCACAGTGTTCCAAACACTAATCCGGCAACGTGGAGACAATGTTTTCAATTTAACAATTGAACGGTTCAGAACACGAGCTCACGTAAAAGCACTCTCAGCATAACTTTTTTTTCTTTATAAAAAGTGATACCATATATATATATATATATATATATATAACATTTGATAAGATAGTAATGTATAGGATAGTGTGATGATTTAAGTCTCTACCATTTAACAATAAAGGATCATTACTTAATTTATTTTTTTTAAAATGACATTATCGCATATATTATGGATTAGACTATTAAAATTATATATTTTTAGGACATTTTCCATATAAAATCTGAATTTCCAACAGCAAAATTTTAAAAAGTTCATTTAGGTGGAAAAAAAAATTATAAGAAGAAATTCTACTTTATTAATATTACATCCTTCGATTTGCAAAAATAATTTTGCAAGATAAGAGCCTATGAGACACTTTCATAGAGTTCCCGCCAAGTCAAGCCTATGTAATGGACTAACATAATGCTCATAAACTAGAGAAATGATGGTAGATGTCCCATTTCAAAGGGAGTTGGAAAAGAATGCAAATGGTAAATTTTATGTGAGAGAGATGATTAGATAAATATATAAGAAAATAATTGAGAGAAAAGCTGTCAAAGAGAGAAAACAAACCTTTAGAAAGAGAAAATAAAATATACATTTGTAGAAGGATCACAAGAGTACTTAACAAAAAAATAAATAAATAAATAAAATAATAAATAAACAAAGGAGGTACCTTAATGGTGTTTGCAATAAGCTCATGACTTTCAATCATTCGATTATATTTATTCAACTCGCATCTTCTCAATTATTAGGTATAGGGCCTATTAATAATAAAATTCGAATAAGAAAGTTTAGTGGTATAACCAAATACAATGTAGATTTGAAAATGTCCCAATTAAAAAAATATAGAGTTGTTTGTCTGGAAGGTACGTGACAAAGAGAGCAATTAATGAATAGAAAAGAATGAAAAAAAGAGAATTGATTGACTGACTGTATTCATATGGAATAAAGATAAAAATGATGACAATTACAACTAGGATTGTAAGCGGCCAAATGAACCAAACCGAATAGAGCTTGAGCCTATTTGTGCTCGGCTCATTCATTTGTGGGAGCAATTAATAACAAAAATATTAAATGAATATGTTCACAGGCCTCGGCTCATTTAATAGCAAAAATTGTTCGGACTCAATTTGAGCTTGCGTTCAAGATCATTTTGACTTATTCATCAATTTATACGAGTCTGCACATGTCTATGTTCATGAATATATTTACGAGTTTACGTTCATAAACTTATGTGTTTAAGAGCCTATATAAGTCTAAGTTCACAAACATATATGAGCCTACACGAGTTATTGTTCATGAGCCTAGACGAATCAAGCTCAATGTTGTTCGGGATTGACTCGGTTACTAAATAAACTTAAAAATTTGGCTCAAGTTTAACTCATTTGCTTAATGAACGAACTCGAACCAAACTTTAGACGAGTCGAGCCCATTAACGAGACTTGGCTTGATCCAACAGTTGAAAGGGCATTGTATTCAATTGGCAATATAAACTGTACATAAAACCATCAAAGTAAAATCATTCCCCCATTTAAGTGGTGTGGAAAAATCCATTGGAATATTTGAAAGAAACTGAGAGAAAATGAAAAGAAAGAAAAAAGCAAGAGACTAATGTTAATGTGCAAACAATCAGCATATCTCACAGACGCGATCAAACGCTGCAAAAGCATCAAACAAGTCCACCAAGTCCATGCACAGACCATCACCAGAGGCCTCCTCTCTCTCTACCCTTCTTCCTCTCTCATCCTCACCAACATCCTCCATGCCTTCACTTCACTTCTCACTCCACCACCACCTTCCCATCATCCCCATCTCTCCATTCGCTACGCCATTGCCGTCTTTCACCTCATCAACAACCCTTCAACCTTCTGTTACAACACCATCATTCGTGCCCATACCCTCCTCTCGTTCTCTCACAATGCCTTCCTCTTCTTCACCCGTATGCGCCGCCTCTCCGTCCCGCCCGATGCCCACACCTTCCCTTTCGCTCTCAAAGCTTGTGCACAGCTCCGTTCACTCTCACTCGCCAAAACCCTTCATTCACAATCCTTCAAGTTTGGGTTTTCAGCTGATATATTTGTATGTAACTCCCTAGTTCGCGTATACTCTGTTTCTGATCAAATTCATTATGCTTATCAGGTGTTTGATGAAAGTACTCAAAGGGATATTTGTTCGTATAATGTGTTGATTGAAGGGTTTGTTAAGGCGGGTGAGACTGGACGAGCACGTGAATTGTTTGAAGAAATGCCTGAAAGAGACGCAGTTTCGTGGGGTACCCTCTTGGCTGGGTATGCGCGAATGAACCAATGCAGAGAGGCGATTGAGCTCTTCGAGCGGATGGTTGCATTGGATGTTCAGCCTGACAATGTTGCATTGGTTTCGGTTCTCTCTGCTTGTTCACAGTTGGGGGAGTTGGATAAAGGCAAGGCTATACACCATTATATTGAAGAAAATGGGATTCGTATAGAGGCGTTCTTGTCAACTGGCTTGGTGGATCTGTATTCAAAATGTGGGTGCATTGAGAATGCTAGGCAAATCTTTGAATCTTGCCCTGACAAGAATTTGTTTGCGTGGAACGCGATGATTGTTGGACTCGCGATGCACGGTCAAGGCTGGCTGTTACTTGATTACTTCTCAAGAATGGTGAAGGCCAGAGTTCAACCTGATGGGGTGACTTTCTTAGGAGTTTTGGTGGGGTGTAACCATGCAGGTCTTGTTGATGAAGCCAGGCGGCTTTTTGAAGAAATGGAAACTGTTTATGGGGTCCCTCGAGAACTCAAGCACTATGGATGCATGGCTGATTTGCTTGGGCGGGCTGGTTTAATCAGAGAAGCGATGGAAATGATAGATGCAATGCCAATGAGAGGCGACGTGTATGTATGGGGTGGTGTGCTTGGTGGATGTAGAATACATGGGAATGTTGAGGTTGCAGAGAAAGCAGCTGAGCATGTGATACAGGTGAAACCTGAAGATGGTGGAGTGTATTCAGTCTTGGCCAATATTTACGCGAATGCAGAGCAATGGGACGACTTGGCAAAGATAAGGAGATTGAGAGATTGTAGGAGGGTCAAGAAAAGTGCTGGTTGTAGTTTGATTCAATTGAATGGGGTGACACATGAATTTGTTGCAGGGGATAGCTTGCATCCTCAAACTGATGAGATATATGTTGTTTTAAATAGTATTGGACAACATCAATCTGAAGCATTCTAGATATACACTTTGAATATATAACATTGTTGTTCTTGTCATCGCTTCATGAGAGTACTGTTGTTCATGAAGTACCTCAAAGGGTTAAATTGCACAAGTTTGAGGCCAACATACTGAAAATATAGTTGCCTCACAGTGCTTGATGTTTCTTCAGAAGTGTGTTCAAGATCTGGGTAGTTGCCATACAGGATGGCCACTGCTCTGGGGCCTCTCGGCATACAGATCCTTTCTCCCCGTAACGTTAAGTTCTTGAAAATTGTTTTAAAAAAATATAAAAGAAAGCACGCCTCTTTAGAAAACAGTCTTCAAAAACTACCAACCAAAAGTTGATTTTAATTTTTCATTATGCCAAACTACTGAAACTCAGAGTTAGTTATCATTAAAGTATGCCCTAACATGTGCGCGAGCACGCGCAGACACACACATACACATACATGTTGAGTGCAGAAACATTTGTAGTCCATCTCAGGACTTCAAGCAGTCTGTCAGCAGGCAGAAACCTTCCATTGAGAAAGGATTGAATGCCAAACATTGTACCCCTATTGCTTGCCTACAAGACCTTTTATCTTGACAATGTATGCTCAAAACTAGGGTCTGATGATATAATGCTTCATTCGTGAGCTCTCCAACTTGCTGTGATTTAATCAATACAACACATCCAATGAAATAAGTACAGAAATAAAACCAGAGAAATGGTTGGTCCAGTGTTCATAGCCCTCCAGACAATGGGCACTAGACCTTTTTGCATTGCCTCGCTGATATTTTACAAGTCACATACTTGCATTTGCCTTTGCTTCCATTTCCTAAATGATATAATGACATTATCTAAAAGATTAATTGATAAAGAAAGATTTATTAATTTTTCAAATTCAAAATGTAAGCAGAATCTTAACGTCAGTAAGGGAATTTACAACTACGTTTTAGATTAGAATAAAATTAAACACATCTCTTAATGTGATTATGCCTTCCACACGCTGGCTACCAGCGTTGGTGACAATAACACGCCGCACCGCTGAAACAAGAAGAGGAACAAGTCAATTTTAAACCTTAAAATATAAATAGAAGACTACATCAAATATGAAAAAAGCGAAAATGCATGAAAATACGAACCTGGATCTGAAAGGAGCTCCATGATCCTATACAAGGGATCAGAATGTGTACATGTACCATACCTATGATGGTTTGCTTCATCTATCAGCTCCAGTGCCTGGATCAGATTCCGAAATTAGACAATTTTCAAAATCATATACTACGTAACATCTTCAGTTACATTTGTTGCTTACAGAACAGCTTGTTATGACACTCTATGTATTAACAAAATTTTAGCAATCCATATGGTTATATTTGGGAAAATTACCTCCAAGTCCTACTTTTGAAGCTTAAAAACAACTAACCGTTTAATCCCCCAAACCACCCCCACCCCCTCAACAACAAGAACAGCACACACAAGGAAAAAAAAAGAAAAAAAAAAAAATCTGTGTTGGCTCCTAAAATTAGCATGATAGGATCCTCATTCACTATCTAACTTTAAACTGTGTCGGCTCCTAAAATTTTCAACTTGCTTCAAAGGAGCAAATTATCTGTGTGCACTTTCGAATGTCTGATTACTCGAGCATTAGGATTTCTCTTGTAATGATTGTTATATTTTGGGGAAGCATACCATTGTTTTCCCCTTAAAAGAGGGTATAATTTTTCAAACTAAATTAAATATCCCGTAGTGCAAAATTTTAGTGTCATTAATACAAAAGGATGGTGAGATCACTGGTGATATAACTAATAGGATATGGGCACAGGTTGGACAAAATGGAGGCAAGCTTGTGGTGTTTTGTGTGACAAAAGAAGACCATATAAACTAAAAGGAAAATTTTATAGAACAGTCCTTACGCCAACTATTTTATATGGTCCGGAGTGTTGGGCGTTAAAAAGGAAGCAAGAACAACGATTTATGTAGCAGAAATGAGGAGATGTTAAGATGGTGATTGTTGGAGTGACTAGAAAAAATAGGGTTACTAGGTGTAGTGCCTATTAGTGACAAGATTAGAGAGAGTGGACTTAGGTGGTATGAACATATACATAGAAGACCTACAGATACACCAATGAGAAGAGGGAGGATAATTTGCATAGAGGGTAGGAGGTGCAGAGGGTGTCCGAAATTAACATGGAATGAAATTATTAGAAATGATTTTAAAAAGTTAAATATTAGATAAGAAATAGCATGTGATAGAAAATAATGGAAAAATAGAATTCATGTGGCCAACCCCACTCATATGGGATTAAGGAAAGGATGATGATGATGATGATGATGATAGTGCAAAATTTACAAAATCTTGATCACGGTTTCTGAAATCATGTAAGTTGGCAACTTGGATACATGTGTAAAAAGAAAACCTAAAGGATTTGCGTGTGACATTTATGACTGTCGAATATAGTTTTGACTCAATAGAAAATTTAAAAAATGTCAACTCAAGCCCGCAGAACTGCCTGAAGTGTATAATTCATATCCAGACAATTCAACATAAACTGTCCTATTCACATCACCCCAATCCCACTACTAATAAAATGCTCAATAAATAAAGGAGTATAGTGGAAAATTTGATGAAGTAATGCTTATTGCAATAGTAACTATGAATATTGAATGATAAATCAAGACAATGGGCCAACAGGACTTACTTGAGACATAATTGTCTGATCAAGCTGAATACGAGCGTATACATTGCCCTTTGCCAATGAGGTAATATCACTAACAAACAAGATTATGTATAGATTAATGTTGGAACAATGTAAAAAAGAAACTGAAATCAAAACTCATACATGAGATTCATGTTTAAAATTTTCAAATGTCTTCTTCAAACCACATGTCAATTACCTCCGGGAGTACACATTTATCAGGGCTCCTTTATCATCAACAATTGGTACAGAACTTATTTTCCCTGGAAAGAGGAAAAGATGAAGTACACACACAAGCATAAGATAGCTTAAAAAATTGAGATACATTACTTGCAAAAGCAGAAACTTCTCCAAAAATTCAGGGAAAGATTCAAAAGGATATAAGGTGTGTGAACAATCATACAAGCATATGGTAAACCACTAAAGCCGTATTACTGTTCAAAAAATGACCCTCAATAATAACTATCTTGGACATTTAATGTTTGAAAATTTATGATACAGTCACACCACAACACATAGACCAACAGTGGAACCCTTTGTACAACTAGAACTTTCCAAGGGAAATAATATTAAATCTCCTTCTTTTTGGTAGACAAAATAAGAATAAAGATAGCAACATATAATTGATTATATTGGAATTCACCTCTGTGAAAGCACTAGAGGCCAAAAGGCCCTGCTTACTGTCCAAGAATCTAAACCATTTTGGTGCCCCACCCTTTTCTGAATTGAATAAACAATTTGGAAACTTATGCTTTAGTGCATATATCATTGGAAAATATTCCATAGGATTTTATTCCAATTGAATCTAATATATTTAGTAAAATGTTAATCAATTTATTACTTAAATGCATCAATTAAAATGTCAAATTATACCCAGAATCAAAATGAGAAAAAACAAAGGTTGATGATAATGAAATTCAGTTTGCATGACTGAGATATTTGAAATCCATTTGACAAGGGGCAAAGAGGCTGTTGCAGCCGAAAAAGAATGACATAAACAATTTGGAGGAAGTGCCCAAATAGGAATTTGTGCCATCTAATCTGACTACGAAAGGTCTTCCTAGGCACATGTTTGTTGAATAACCTTGCACATCAGCAGCCTTCAATTAAGTCACGTTTTAAATGTAGCAACAATTAGAAGACGCAATTCAAAAAGCATGCAGTAAAAAGAGCTTCAATTTTTATTTTTTATTTTTATATATAAGTAAGGCATTATTTCAGAATCAGTCTTAGAATGTGCTTCCATGTGTTCTCCAATGCAAAATTAATTTAGGGCTGGCTGCTACGTTTATCAAACACTTGAATAACTAGGCAGCAACTACAAATTGCATAAGCAGGTTTAAAACTCTGGTAAAGCACATCAACCCCTTGTTATGTCTCAGAAAGCACAAAAAATTTCCATTGGCAAAATATAGACAGCTGAAGAGAACTTGTAGGTTCTAAGTTTAATGTTATACATCATAAATTACAACTGGAAGAGATTACTGCATCTATATCAGAAGCATACAAGATAGATACAGTAAACTCTGATGGAGATGCAGATGGAAAAGAAGCAACTCAAGAAATTTAATTGGCTCAATGGGGTTGGAACCTACAAGGGGAAACATAACAAACTCAAGAAAGGCAAATTGGCTCCATAAAACATATTAAATAAAGGGAATAAACGATTCCTCCTAGTTTGTTATCTACCTCGCTGTGATACACATTCTCACATAGATGAGAGAAAGACGGTAACTTGAATTTCTTCACTTTGAGTGAAAATTTAGCAGCTTTTCTAATTTAACAAAATTAAATTTAATAAAACATCAGATTAAACCCATTTTTATGCTCTATTTGTTTTTTCAGAGCTGCAGGTGCTCAAAAATTGAATGATAAGAGTCATAACACTGTAACAGGAAAAACAGATTTTCGGTTGTAGGCATTAGGCAATGAACAAATACAGTTCATCACAAATTCCTGACCTCTAGGGCTCCAAATGTCTGAGGCAAGTCAAGTGCCAAACTGTTTGACTTCATAGAACTTGGACTGTACTTGGCTCAACTAGCTTGCTCAAGTGTAACAAAATTTCTCTGAGTTTAAACTTGAGTCTAACTGAGCTTATTTACATAACCTAATCCAATGTATGTATTCAGAACAAAACTAGTGTTCTAAATTAATTATGCAGAATTGTGATCACAAGCTTACATTATATTTACAAATATCACTCCATTCCTCATCATTTACTATTAATAATATATTCTAGCATACATTTACCTTCAAAAGAATTTTATTTTTTAGCAGTATTGAAGATTTTTCTCCACTGATTAAATCTTCAATAAGGAGCTTATCATTTTAGGGTAAGTACTTAAGCATCTTATGTTTGTGTACACTTTGTCAACTTCTCATGAGCTACAATATCAGTTTAGGCAATTAAACACAATGTTCAAAACTTGGCAAATTTGACCCGACTTTGGCGTAGCCGAGTCAACTTGGAGTCGATTCTGAGTTACGCCGAGATCTCAGGCAGAATGAAAATCACAGCTTCCTTGGCCTGGCTCAGCTAAGACGTGGGCGTCTCAGCCTCCACCAAGTATCAGCCAAGACAGCTGTGATTTTCGAGCCGCTTACCAATATATATATCTAAACTTCATATCAACTTTCATTGGAATGATATAATTCTTTAAGGGTATAAACTCAATATTATGTTAAGACACCTCAGGTTAATTTATTTGATATTTATATATATGTATTTCCTAAAAGAATCATGTAATGACCATTGAAAAATTAAAGGATACTCCAGCAAACCAGACTATATTTTTTTTCCATAAGAGAGAAAATCATAAAACAAACTTTTATCTATTATGAATAAAAATTCAAATACTGAAGATATCTACTTCTAGAAAATAAAATTATGTGGAATGAAGAACACTGAAACATCAGTATAAAGGTGGGATTTATATCCAGTTGTAGGCACCACAAGGACAATAGGAAGGCCAAATAGAACGATTGAGGCTCTGACATGAGATGCATGTGTATCATTTGAATAATAATAAGACCCTAGAAAGAGTTGAATAGCAAATTTAATTTGTGAAGGTGATCCCCTAAGTATTGGCTTTGACTTCATAAAGGTGTTAACTGTCGGATTGTACTCTGGACTTATTTACAAATCAAGAGGTATCTCTTCACAAGAAGGTCTCTCGTTTCCCGCCCTCCTCCTCTCAGATTCATCGAGAAGCAGGGCAACAATAAGATTGATAAATTAAAAGAGAAAAGAAGTGTGAAAGTACTTTACAGTGATTCAAAAAAATTGATCATTCTATGAGAAAATAATTTCCACAATGAATTCAAAGTGATCATGCTTCTTTGTATCAAATCATAGGCAATTAACAAACAACAAGATTTATTCATTTTTACCGGTGACTGACCAGATTTGATAACCTTATGAAACTTTTAAGAAACTTGGAAATACTAAATAACCATTTCTTGTAAATTTTAGTTATTGGAACTAAACTCAACACAAACAAAGCCTTTGTCACAAGACTCACAACTGTTAGGATCACTACTTGAAAATATTACACCATTCTGATATCTCTAACATCCTTGGTCTTCCTGTCATCCCACAATGGCTGTTTTTATTTATCATTCTCAAATGTCTCTCCAACAACTCTCAATCTGGACGTGAGCACTTCAGCAACACCTCTGCTGGGACATGTACCTTTATTGTGCAACATGGTATACCACAAAGCATTGTTAGTATCCTAATGAACTGCTCAAACAAAACTCCAGAAGAGATCCCACACTTCTCCCACTAATTCATAGAACGAAACCTCCTTATTATGTTTGCTAAAGAATTATGGTAATATTGAAATAACTTAAATCTAGTCTAATGTTTAGTACAGTATATCAAACCACAAGACCAGGAGTAAAGTAAAAAAAGAAAGAATACAGAAGGCAGATGTGGCTTCCATAGTAATTGCATTTCTTATTTTGCAACTAGAATCACCAAAACAATAAGGCCTAGTTTGGTATGCAGGAATGGAATGAAGATGGGAATGGAATGAGAATGGGAATGGAATGGAATGGTCATTCTCATTCTCTTGTTTGGTTGTAGCTATGATTGGAATGAACTAAGTGATGGTGGTGGTGGTGGTGGCGGTGGCAAAATGCGGTGGTGGTTCCGGTGGACGGCTGCGGTGGGGGCAAAAGGAGGCAGTGGAAGGTGGTGGCAAAAGGCGGTGGCAACGGCGGCAGTGGTGGAGGTGGAGGATGGTCGTGGTGGTGGAAGGTGGCGGTGGTGGAAGGCGACAACGGTGTCGGTGGTGGTGACGGAAGGTGGTGGTTGTGGTGGTGGTGGTGGAAGGCGATGGTTGTGGTGGTGGTGGTGGTGGTGGTGGTGGGTGGTGCTGGTGGTTGGGGAAGGCGGTGGCAGTGGTTGTGGACCTTGTGGTGGCGGTGGTGGTGGCCAGAAATTTCATTCCTTGGAATGAATTTTCATTCCATCCATTTAGAAGTGGACTGAATTTTCATTCCTTGGAATGGATATTCATTCCAAGGGAATTAGTCATTCCCATTCTAAATGTCATACCAAACAAGGGAATGGTTGGAATGGAATATCCATTCCTGTGTACCAAACATGACCTAATATAATTGTTGAACGATTAAATATTAAAGTCTCTAACAGTTTAAGCTTTTGGAGTAGATATTAACATGGTATCGGAGCCAAAGGTCTCGAGTTCAAACCTCACCGTCACCCTGATATTTAAAAATTGAAACACGTGCTAGACCAAAAGAAGGCCACACATGAGGGGGTGTGTTGAAGAATTAAATATTAAAGTTACACCCTCTCTAACAGTTTAATCTTTTGGAGTAGATGGTTGCTAACAATAATGAATTGAAATTAGTCGCTACTATTGGAATTGAGTGACAACTACAATAAACTGAGATTAAAAAAAAAAAAAAACTCATATTCAACTCTAATATTGTTAATAGTAATAAATACAACAGGGCCTAAATAAATAAATAAATAGTCAGCAAAAATTGCATGTTTTGGAATAAAATCAAAAATAAAATAACAAACTTATGTTTATTTATAAGTGATAAAAAATAAAATAAAATAAATGGAACAAAAAATCATGGTCATGCATTAAAATCTAGAGCGAAACAAGCACACACACACAGCATGCACAAGCACGTCTATGGGAAGTTTTATGTGTACACATGTGTAAATGTTGGTCTATAATGTATCTTTTTCTGGAAAATGCAAAAAAAAAAAAAAAAGAAAAAAAAAGGTCAATGTTTACCTTCTATTAATAAATTAAGAGCAGAACTAAGAGGGTCAGTGGGACGTAAACTTAATAGTACACGGCCACTTCTTCCAACTTCTCTCCAGGTACCCAAATGAAGTGTACCAATTGGTTGTTGTAGAAGAGGCAGATTTCCAAGACGCTGCCTTAAGAGCCTGCACATATCTGAGTTCTCACCAGAGAAAAAGAAAAAGTAAGCAATTAACAACATATACTAATGTGAGAAGTAGTCTTTGAATAATTTGACAAAACACACATTTTAAAATTCCAGAGAGGCATGCTATATGTAACAACTGTGGACAGGATCCGTCTTGCATTGAGTGGATAACAGGAACTGTAGATATCTTATTTTGCAGAATCCTCAGAGCCACATCTTTTAGTGACTCATCTGGACCAGCCTGCGGGTAACAAAGGAAAACAAAAGGGAAAATAACTACAAGGATACAATTCTATTGAAGCACTCACATAAGACAACGGAAACATAAACCTGACAATGGAACAAGCACTAATGAAATATTTCTTCAAAATTTTCCCACCGAGGAATTCCTTGTTCTCTCTCATCTCTTTCCAGAGGGGGGAAATGAATAAAAGAGTAAAAAATCAAGGATTTCATCCATAGAGAATTGATACAGGCTAACCAGTGGAAGAGCCCATAAATACTTTGTGTGAGCTAGAGTTTTTACTTGAATTAAAGGTCTTCTATGCAGCAGTTGTGTTGGCCCAACAGCTTCTCTATGAAGTTGGAATTTTACTTCTTTCCAAGCAGAAATTGTATGCATTTCAAGTTGTTCATTGATCACCATTGGACGATTTCTGTGTAACTGCAGGAATGAGAAATTTAAGTTATTACTATTAGAAAAAGATTACTTCAAGAATAGCAAGTCAGACAAGTGTTTAGAAAAAATATATATATATACATATAATTCAAAACACAAGGGGTTACAAAAATAGTATAACCATAAATGTGTGTGACAAAAAATTTAGCAAATTAAGTTGCTAGTAAACTGCTTATGCAAGTCAGTTTGTTTAAATTGATTTACTGGTCAGAAAGCAGTGAGATCACTCAAAGAAAACCAAGTCTTGCAGTATCTACACGATGTACATGATTTTTTTTTTTTTCCCCATGAAAAATGACTGTTGGGATACAGGGCCGGTATTAATAGCCTTTGAATGTAAGTTTAGCGGAAGAATAAGTGTAAAAGAGGACATTGTTTTGTATAGGTGTTTGGGAAGACATTATCAATTGTTGCTCAAGTGAAAGCAGTTTCTTTGTTGTTGGATACAGAATAGATAGTAACATTTCAAGTTAGGATTTGTGCCTCAAATTCTATTTCTATTTTAGAGTTATTTTATATGGTAATTTCTTGTAAGGCAAGTCTTTGACTCTAAGGGACTTTTATGTAAGGCAAGTCTTGGCCGCTAAGAAATTGTAATCCTTATCCACTAAGGAATTGGGCGTGGGACCCTATAAATAGATACCTAGTATTGTTGAAAGGTATGAGTTGAGAGACATGTAGCCCGTGGAGGGCAGCCTCGTGAAGGAGTTGCGTGTGTGCAAGATGGGTAGAGGGTATTATGGGTTTGGTAGAGTGAACAATGAAGACGAGGGAGTCTCGTGAAATGGTACACGGTGCAAGGCTAGGGTATTTGCCACTACCCAGAAATTGAGAGTTTACGTACATGTTTCGATGTTTGTAATTCTCTACTATTGTAATTCTCCTCATCAGTATAATGGAATCTCCTCATCCGTGGACGTAGCCCTAATTTAGGGTGAACCACATATATCTTGTGTTGTGGTTTGTGATTCATCTTCTTCTTGTTCAAGCTTATTATTATTTGCTTCCGCTATACACCTAATAGTTTAATGTAAGATATTTGTTCTAAGGTTTTATTCTCTAAAATTTTAAGAATCGCAAGGAACAAGAATACAAATGGCAACATATAGTATGCACTGGAAGGATACAAGTTTTATCGATCCCCAAAAATTTGTGGAACTAATCCATGATTGGGAACTAAAAATAGGCTTTTGGCACCTTTGAGGTCTTATTTTAAATAGGTGTCACAATTCGCTAAAGATAAATAATCACGAAAAGATTACTAGAACATCTTTTTGGTAAAGCCACTTGCAATAACGAAGGTGGAAGGATATGAAATGAATTTCCATAGATTAATTTTCTGCCTAGCACCCAAAGATGGCTTTTGTTTCTCAGGTGGCTGGTAGGTAAAAGTTTTTCACAATTGGCCACAATATTTAAGTAGTGGAATATCCCAAATGGACAAGGAAGCAAATTAATGTCTGGGATTTCCTTCTGAGTGTTTTTTTTCCTGGATAAGTAAACAAACAAATAAAAAATCTACACAATATTGAAAGAAAGGTCAGCACAGATATATACTACAAAAAAGATGGTCTCAAATAACAAGCTACATCATGCAAACTATTCTCACAAAGTGGTACATTTAAATCTTGTGAGGATCACTAGTCATGGCCAGCAGAAGTAGAAAACTTGCACTATACCTCCATAAATATCAAAATGAAGTCAGAAGCAGTAAGCATTCCCAAAATCTGTTTGCTGCAGTCATCCCAGATAGGTACAACAGCAAGTCCCTAAAGGAGGAAAAAAAGAATAATAGATAGGATATTAAACATACGAAGTTTTGTGAAACCATCAATGTCAAGTCACACAATTTGAAGGTTTCCGTCAGATTAAAGAAAAAAGGAATAACAAATCGTTGTGCATAAATTAGGATCAAACCAAGGTTATTGATTTTTTTTTTTGGCAAAATTGTGCTAAACACCCCTACATTATCAAGCAGTTGCAACTTGCACTCCTGAACTATCAAATGCACCAATTAACCGCTCAAACTATCAAAACGCAGCACATTGACCCTTTTACCAAACTGCTGTTTGTTTTTGCCATTAAATAATGGTGTGCAATGCCTGCTATAAAATTATTGTATTGACTAAAATATCCAACAAATAACATACTTTGCATCACATCAGAGGCTATGAGATCTAAGCTACCGAGTGTAAATAGGAGTAAAGAGAATTCTTAACACTTTAGCCCTTCATCAGCAAAGGTTCAAGCAATTACATATAATCAATATCTGTGATGCAGGACAGGTGAGAGAATAAGGAGAATGAGAGAGAAAGAGGAAGAAGAAGAGAGAAAGAGGGAGAAGAAGAATAGAGGGTGAAGAAGTCTCAATAATAATCTCCGTAATTAATCAATAATCATGAAAAGTGCCTTCACAATGTATCACCCACATTTTTATAGGCATAACACTAGAATTCTAGTAAAACCCTAATACCAAAATATAGAACAAAATAAATCCTAAATCATCCTCTACATTTACGCCAATAGTAAGTGAATGGACCATGCAGCTCGTCAGAATCTCCATCAATCTGAACACGTGAAAGTAGGATAGATCAAAGAATGAATGCCGAGAATGTACCAACTGCCACAGATAGTGATTAGAATCAGTGAAGAATAGGATAAACCCATCATCTCCATGAAAAACATCCCAGTCAAATTATGGCCCTGAATATGTAAAACTGACTCTTGACTGACACTTGGTTGAGAGTTGAAATGACATGCACCACCAACAGCTGCTAAAGCAATTGTTCCAGTTTAAAAGGGCAAAGAAATTCTACATAGAATAGTCCACACCCACCCAATACTTACATTCCTACAGTGTATTTTAACTAACTTTAGCACTCCATCTACAATTGAACTCGCACCCTATACAGTCATCTTCTCTTCAGCAATTTACCCGATGTATCTTCAAGCACATGCAATGAATGAAGTTACAGTACTAATTCCTTTTCATTAAAATTGTTGTCTAACATGCTTTGTCCATTCGCTTGCCAACTGCACTTTACTCTATAGCAATTGCCTTCACAGGATAGAATCCTTGTCTCCCCAATATTCTCATCAAAAGACCTTCATTATTAGATAGTCGAATCTCAAGGATCGGTTAATTACCTACATCCCACTACCCATCGGATTGTCAAGACTAGACTCTGACACACCCACGCAATCACCAAGCCACAAGCCAGAAGCCAGAAGGAAGAAGTAAGAACAATAGCATGACAAACCAAAGATAAAATATAATATTTTATGGCAGTATAATAGACTCTCCCATAACCAAAATATAGAACTTAAACTACATACCTCTTCGTACATAACATGGCAAGCCTGTTCCATAGCAACTTTAGCATCTAATGCAATGACCTACATTTTACATAATCATTCCACATTCGAATAATCATATACACCCCTATACATGATAAAGGAGAAGAATGATAAATAGAAAATTGAAAACAGATATGAAGAAGGGATTCAGACCTTGCCTGAATTTGGAATCAACTCAAATGTTTTATAACTTGACAAATGCAAGGATAGATGATGACGAGAGACATCTATCATGTTATCTGACCATGGCAACACCAGCTCAGGATGTATGCTACTTGATGATGAAGCCTACTTGGTGTAACAAAGAAGTAGGCAATTCAAATGCATAAGTAAAAAATGCAACAAAAAATAGCAAGTTTCACTAGTTTGTATAAAAGAAAAATAAAATAATAACATCACTTTCAAGTTTCAAAACTGACCAGTTCGTTTACAAGAACAACATTATTAATTCTTCCATATTCATCAGGAACACAAATTTGTTGACCATCAAACCGCCATACGCCATCAACCAAGAATTTATACTGCATTACATATTTAAAGCCAAAAATTCAAAATATTGTAATATAAAATAAAAGAAGAATACTTCTTCTATATCCAAGCCAGCCAAAACCATACTCGTAACATTGAAATTGATGACTACAAGAGAAACATATTAGAAAACTCGAAAAGAAAAAAAAATAAATAAAAAATAAATAAAATAAGTTTTATTGCAACGAAACAGAAAAAGCACACATGCAAGAAAAGCAAAAATGTCACAAAACGGAGAACAATAAATATGCTCATGCACATCTCTGTAAGCTTCTTTAAGTGGGGTAAGAAAGCCATGATTAACAAAACACAGTAACACATGGTACATACTAAATGGAACCAATGTCATGGACAGCCCGACGAGTCATCTACTTAAAAGGACCCGCTGCTTCTTCTTCCATTCCCACTTGAAAAAAAAAAAGGAACTGTCTGTAAATAACTGTATCTTTGTGCATTAGTTTGCAAGAGCATAGGAGCTAACAATTAAAATGACACATGCATCCGAATGTGTAAACCAAAATGCGGATATAGGTGAAACAAATAGTTTTGCAAGTATGTTTGTATGTGTGATAAACTGGGTTGAAGACAACAAGAACACATATGGTACATATATCTTGATATATGTTACATATATCTAATGATACGATTCAGGTAATCCCCAAATCTAATAACACAAAGGAACAAAATTGAATGGTCAATAAGCCCAATTTTTCTCCTTCTACACCTAATGAAAAATTGGGGTATTCAGAATTGTATGTCCATTTTTTGACTCAATTTACACACGCAACAATAAGATTAACATAATCTTTTAGGAAACTTTTAGTAAACATGAAATATGTTAACACTCTCCCTTTGATAGAGATCAGAACGCATAATCAAAATGGGATAAAGAACGTGAAAATAATAGCTTCACATGTATGTGTCAATGTGTTGTTAAAGGCAACAAGGCTACACATGTTTTGGAGAAAGTAGCTTCTATGAGAAGAAAATTTGAACTCTTTTATTTAGATTGCCCCATCCTTCACAACACTTGTATTTAACTTTTTAAGATAAATCTCCTTAAGATTAATAATTAGACCTTTATAAAAGCATAGTTTCTAACACAATTAGTTGGACAGCCTTGAAACCAATTCAAATCATCTAAAACAACTGCTGAAAAGTGGCTAATTCAACCATGGTATATATTCTCGAAATTGTCCGAGAAACTATATCAATAAAAGTATATAAAAATAATATAATCTACCAAAGAAACGAAATAAAATAGTGGACACCCAACAATACTAATTCTAAATCATAAATTTTCCCAATTAGAGTTAAACCTTACAAACTCGAGCATGAAATTTCCTATATTTCATTGGAATTATTTATTTATTTTTTTAGTTTATGTATTTGTTTTTTGACTGAAATTAGTGCCCTTACTGCCACTGTTGACCCCAACCCAAACTGATGTCTAAACCCAAACCAGATTTGTATATTTAATAGATACAATTAAATTTTGCTTCATTTCAAACTCTGAGCAGATATTTGAGTAGAAAGTGAAAGTTCAACCACAAACTTCAATCAATTTTCGTATCAATTGAAACATTATGCCATGTATTTCTCAATCATCCACATGCATAGTACGTAATAAAATGGAAACATGGATCATACCTGATGATAACCTGGGGGAAGATCCTGGATTGCTTGGAAAATCATGGAGGAACCCTCCACCAAAATCATCTGTATGCGCTCAGTCCACCTATACAAATAACAACATCATATATATATATATATATATATATATATATATATTCTAGAGAGAGAAACTGACAACATGTCGAGAAATGAAATGTACCCACTAAAGGAACCGCAGAGGAAAACCTCGCGACCTCCATAGCACCATGTAAACACTGTATGAACCATTCTTGTTGACAATTTTGCTGTCCCCGAACCCCCAATTCACATAGCTCTATATGTGTATACAAGTCTGTGTATATATATACATACATACATATATATATATATACAGAGCAATTTGAAGTAAACAAGAAAAGTGTTTACTAATCGTAGAAGCTGTATCCAACAAGTGAATTCCTATGTAAATCCGCCGGCTAAAACCATAGGCATTCCTTCCCCATAAGACTTTATGCACAAGATTCGCCTAGAAATCTCCGACTTGGAACAAAAATTATGCCACTAAAAAAAAAAAAAAAAAAACAAAAGAGGAGAAAAGGGATAAAGTTAGTCATGGAAGTGTGTATGTGTATTGGTAATGTGTGTGCGTGTGTGTAGACATCTTATATGGAGGGTGTTGTACAGTTTAAAAGAGAGATTCTATTTTCAATTGCTTTCTTTTTGAATTTTTATATAAGAATTTTTTGACTTTGAAAATCAGTAGAACAAAACCAAGTTTCAGAGTAGTGTGGTTGAGAGAGATGTTGAATTGTTGGGTTTCACATGGGTGCATAGCTCTACCAATTTTGAAGAATCTAGATTGGGCCCATAATTGGTGCTCAAGAATCTGATTTCAAATCTTTTTCACTTGACTTGAGTTTGAAAAGTGTGACAGAACTTTTTAAGTCTTAAAATATACAGTATTTTTAAGAAGAAAGAGAGAATAAAATAATAATAATTCACTTTTCTTTTCTTCAAAGCAAATGCATAAAAAAATAAATAAATAAATAAAAAGAAAGAAAGTAAGGAAGGATAGAAAGAAGATCATATATGTATAGATATATATTCATATGTCTAAACTAAGTTAATATTATTGTGTTTGAAAGTACTGAATTATTTTTAAAAAATTAAAATTAAAAAAAATTTAATTTAAAATTTAAATTAAATTTAAAAATAAAATCATAAAACTCTCATTTACTATTAACATATAACTCAATAGAATACCCTCATAACTCACAAAACTTTTACCCCATATTCATGTTAATGGAATTGTGAAATAACAAAATTATCCTTATTATTAATGTTAAATTAAAATATCAATAGTAATTCTTTTAAAATTACAAATTTAACCTTTGTATGATCAATTCTAATTTAGAAGCACATTTAATTTTAATTGGAATGAACTCTAAATTTACTCTAATTCTAAATTTAAAGTACGAATTTAATATTTCCAAATATAACATTTAAGCATTTGGTACGGTTTGAGAGTTTATTATATGATTCTTATTCTTGTTTTTGTAGGTTACCTTCCCATCTTAGCAAATGTAAAAGTCCAATCATGCAGAGAAACAAATCCTCTCCTCCTTTGTCTTTCTCGTAATTTGTTTATTTTTCTTATTTTCTTGACTAGCGGATTTTTTTTTTTTTTTTTTTTTTTTTTTTTTTTTTTTTTTTCTCGTGTGTTTGTATTCCCTATAGGGGACAAAGAAATAAAGCAGAGAAAGAGTGAGAGAGAAAAATAAATAAAGTAAAAAGAGAAAATGAGAGAGAACCTACTCTTTAGAGTTAGGTGTCAAAACTCCCTACCACAGAGTAGGTTCATGTATGTTTGATCAATGATAATATATTGTTTTTAAAAAAATAATTGACCCACTTATTTATAAAATTACTAATAATGAAATAATATATTATGTTTAATTAGGTGGACATTTAACCTCCCCAATATCTACTCCCTAATACACCAAGTCATTTAAACGCTGTTTGATATATTTTGATAAATAAATTGATTTGAATAAAAAGATTTAATTAGCTGTGTGTTTTTACTTTTTAAAATAAAAGGGGGAGGATTAAAGTTTTTGTATGAATAAAAGTGGGTGCATGTGCTAGTTTCTAAGATAAATAAATAAAAAATAAAAGATTTGAGGTCTTGTCATTTAAAAAATAATTTTTAAAAACTCAAAAAAACAAAAAAAAATAAATAAATAAGTTGTTGCCAAAAAATTATAAAAGACAGTTATATATAAAACCTAGGTAGCACAAATACGGGTACGACACAATAAATAAAATAAATAAATAAATAAAATCAAATAAAATTTGATACGACTTAAATACATCAAAAAATAATTAAGTTAAATTTTATTATATATATATATATATATATATATATATATAACAATCATTTTTTTTCATTTTATCCGCATAATCACAAATGAAAGCTGTAACGACCCTAAACAGAAACCAATGAAAAATAAAAAATAAAAAATAAAAAATAAAAAAAAAATCAACATAATCTTTACTAAAAAGGATCATATGCCAACCTACTTAAATGTATATAAAAAAAAAATGCAATAGCCTCTCTTGGACCTTTAAAATTTATCTAACATGTACCAGCACATAATGCAAATAATATAAAACATTCTCAAAACAACAACATCAATAACCTCCTCAAAATAGCCCATCACCATCAACCCATTCATCTAGAATAAAGGAGTACTTGTGTTATACTTAGTTCGATGTTCACATACTAGAATTTTACTCTAATTACATCTACTTACAGTCCATGAATATAATTACAATAACAAGAGTCCATAAGTCTCCGTACAGAATACAATATACTAAGTTTTACAAAAAAAAAAAAATAGTGAGACTTGGATACAAAAATAGCAAAATGATCTTCTAATCTAAATTAGGCATGTGGTGGAATGTCATCCGCCACATATTTTCCATGTCCTGAAAAATATTTAAATAATAGGGTAAGCATAAAGCTCAGTAGGTACTGCCTAAGGCACACCTCTTGTGACCCCGTGAATCCAAATAATGAATAGAAATAGGAAGCGGAGTCATACTATGCCGAGAAGGAATACAATATTAATTTCAATATATTCCAAAATAACAATGTCGTGCCATGATATGTGATGCCATGAATGTCGCTCCCCATTTTCAAAATCCAAAACCATCACTTTTCAAACTGTTAGTATAACCCGTCCATTGGTGACTCTGCGGCGACACGAGAGAAGGATTGGCTACTGTCCATGACCGTTGGTACCTCCGCGGCATCATTTGGGGACAGATAGCTCAACCACGCTAGGGCGATCTCCCTAATTCCCTCTAGGTTATATTAACACAACGACCCTTTGGTAACTCTGCGGCGACCGGGTTTTCATAAAAATCACTTTAATCAAAACTTTGTCCCAAAATCTCTTTTTCCTTTCAAAATAATTTTCCCCTTTTCATGCCCAATGCTATGCATGAATGTCTCATATATCTCAATGTTGTACAAATAGACAAATTCATACTCATCAAGTTATTATTCAATAATATACATGCTTTACAACATAAAATTTTTTTAAATATATTTTATGTTTTCTAATCACCAAACTAGCACTAAAGGCACAAAGGGCTTAAATTAATCAACAATTAACCTGTTTCGTAAGAAATTTATTTATTTATTTATTTTTAATTCATATTTTATCATTACATAAACATAACAATTGAATACCATGGGTATGAAAATTCATCAATTAAGCTTGCTTTCATTATCATATATCACATAAAACATAGCCACACCCTTTCACATAGTAAGTAAATAAATTTACGTGAAATTTCACAATTTAAGCATGCTAAAACACAATTTTTTTTGAAATTAACTTACAAAAGCCCAAGAATATATGAATTAGAGACTCCTACCTCAAATTAAGCAAAAAATCTCCAAATAGGTCTCAAAACCGGAATCCCTATATTGCACTAAAACTGAAATTGCTTATATGGATGTGAAGATATTGCCGTGCTCTTCGAATCGCCTCAAACAGCTTCCAAAATTTCCAAGAATTGAAAGAGAAATCTAGTTTGGAAATTTGAGACCAAAAGAAAAAAGAAAAATCTAGAAGAAGGGGGAGAGGAAGAGAGTTACGGGAGAGAAAAATAAGAGGCCTAAATGGCCTTTCAACCTTAAAAGAAGTGGTGGTGGGTCCCACCACCAAAACCATTTCTTTTTCCTTTTTTTTTTTTTTTAATTTTCTTTTTACACCACACACACACACACACACATATATATCACCATACCATAACCACATATCATATTAAATAAAATAAATATGATGCAAATGGACCCAATTAAAATTTTCGTATGCAACAATTCTGGTAGCGGGTCCCACACGAGACTGTCCGGTCCGAAAAACGAAAAAATGCAAAAATGACTAACCTTGCATTTCAATAAGTCCTGAACTCAATGAAATGCCCCAACCAGATCTCGGACACAACCGCCACACTCCACGGTGTCCAGTACGTAAAACGGCAAAAGACGAAAATGCCTTTGCAACGACAAAAATTCCAGAAAAATGAAAATGACGAAATTCAGAAGTATTACAAAAGCACTAATTTGGAGTTTATAATTAAATGTTTGTTACTTTAAATTATATATTATTTTTTGTATTAGTCCACAATATATTTTAAATTGCATTTAATTTCATTCTTCTAAAAAAATACTTATAAAATCACCCCGCAAAATCCTAAAAGTATCCAAAACGTGTTCTTAGTGTGTCCAACCAAAAAATAAAATATTCAAATTTCAGGATATTTCTAGCCGTGTCTGACACATGTCTAAGCCGTGTTCAACAGTCCAACACTACCACGGTACCCCTAGGTGGAGTGCATATGCTTCTTAGACGAAAACAAACATTTTTATCACTAAATATATATTCAGAATAACTGAATCAAGCAAGAGTTTTTGAAAAGTGTTTTGATTTTTAGTTCTCTAAAACATAAAACTATTTTTTAAAGGCCTAATACTGTAGCAGTGAAAAATATTTTGTTTATAGTGGCGAAACATTTTGTGAATAGTTGTCAAAAGTCAAAATACCAATTTGGTATTTTTATGTGTTTTCACATTGTACCAACGAGGTACTGTAGCAACGGGAGTACTGTAGCAATGAACACTACCAAAAAAAAAAAAAATTTGAAATAACATTTTTAAACAAGCCATTATATTTTATAAAATTATAATATTTTTTATCAAACATGTTTTTATATTTTTACTTCCAAAATTTTGTAATAAATAGACATTACCAAACATATTTTTGATTATTATTCAAAGCACCATGCAACAAAAACTTGTTTTCTTTCTAGTTAAAACAATAACGAAAAAAGAAAATACGTACCAAACATACTTCGAGTGATAAACTAAGGAATGCGACCAATAGGCGAGTGGCCTAACGGTATTAGCCTCTTACCTTCAGAAGAGACAAGTATATGTGAGTACCAACGAAAAAAAAAAAATGAAGTGCTAGTTTTTTTGACAAAAAAATTAAGAGTAGTGATTCTTACACCAAAGAGTTACAGTGAATTACCTAACCGAATGATTTTGCTTAGTTATATATGCAAAAATACAAGTAAGTAGAGGGTCTCACTCTCTTATTTATTACATAAATGACCAATTAAAAATAGTAAGTCTAACAATTCACTACAATAGTGTAAAAATCATGTTCCAAAAATTAATTCTTGGAGTAAAATTGAAAGGTTGAAAGATATATTTGTTTGAGAGAATTATGTAACTAAAATGCTTGTGAAATCTTTCACCTTATTATTTGAAATCCAGACAT